GGAATTTTCCCAGAACACAAGTGGTTCACAGAGTAGCTTTCAAAACTGAGGCCCACGAACTCCAAAAGAGAACTTACAGGGCCACCCTCCCGGCCAGGAGCTTTCCCAGCCCTGTCCCCACCCCAAGATCACATTGGGATTTGAGGCATCTTTCTCCCCCAGGACATCCTCTGGCCAAGTGCATGGGGGCCAGTGGCCCCGGGGGCCGGGGCCGGTCTGACTGGCCACACCAGGCTGTCCCTCTGCGCTTATACCAGAAGTGTAGAGGGGCGGGGCCCAGGAACACCCCCCACCGTCGGAGCCAGCCACCGAACACCTCTGGCAAGAGGACCCTGGTAATTTTAAAAATTAACTATAGCTCCCTGTTCTTTACAAACCTTCACAATACTGTACCAGGACAAGAATGCGACCTTCCCAGTGTGGGTGGGGGTGACACTATGCTCCCCCACCTCCTTCCCTGGGCCATGAGGAACTTCTGAGACTGGAAGCTGGAGACACAGGCTCTGCCTGTGACCTTGAGAAAGTACTCGAACCTCTCGGGGCTGCACTCCCCGACTCGCTGCTCCATCCCAATTCCAGGTCTAAAAGAACTACAGCCACCACGCAGGCCCTGTATCTCATACCTACAGTTTTCCAAATGCTAACAGCACCAAACTGCTCGTGGAGAGCTACAGACACGCGGAGGATGGAGGGAAGGGGGCAGCCAGCCAGGGACGCAGGTGCACACGCAGGAACACCGTCGTGTCAGGTGCCTTCCACTTCCTGCTTCACATGATTATGATCTTTAATAAGAATATCTAATGATCATAATGTTTACATTTCCTTGAGAGTTTACTTTTACCTTAGAATCCCTCCTCAGTGCTGAAAATGTGATTGCATTCTCAACAAGGCAAACCTTCCCAAACATGACCCGTGTTCACGGGACCTGTGGTTGGCACAAAATAAAATTCACAGACACCTAGTTTTATAAGTCAATAAACAACACACTACAGTTTTCACCAAGGAGAGCGACGAGACCCCATGATGGAGGGAACAGACCCACAGCTGCAGGCGCGCAGATCCACGCAGTTCCAGGGCAGTGGCTGGAATGCACGCTGCCATGCCCTTTGACCTCCCTAGATTCTCTCTACAGCAACTGTGGAAAAACATTCCAAGATGCACATCTAAGGACGGTCCCTGAACTTCAGGTGTGAGAGCAAAGGGGCAGCCTGCATGCGGCCAGGGAATCCACATACATCCACACACACTCAGCCACACACGTGCAAGGCCCGCCAGATCCCACGCGGGCAATGAGATGGAACACCCTGCGGAAGTTTAATGGCCGAATCGGAAGTTCTCTTCCAGGCGGCACCGACCCCCACCAGGATGTTGGCAAATACAAGGAGGGGTGGCCTTGCAGGCATTCTTGGGCCTGGGGAAGGATCACTGTCACCATGTAGGCCAGTCCCTCAGCAAGGAAATTCTTGCCTCCAATACCAACAGCAGCCATTAATCATCTTACATTAAATTTCTGGAACTAACCCCCAAAATTCTTGCAAGTGGTCGCTTTTGAGAGTGACCATGCTTGGGGCCTTTATAACTTCCTCTGAGCTTCTGTGCCGCTGCATCTTTCCTTCTCTGCTTCCTCCTCCTCCACGCCATGCACTAATAGTGAAATTGAACTTCTTCCATTTGCATTCTTCACATCAAACATTTACAGACTTAATTCAAATAAATAAATGTTGAAGGCAAGAGTGAAGGCTCCAATGGCCTACAGCCCACTCCCAGCGCCGCTTCCCAGGCCAGGCCAGCTGGCTTCACGGGGACAGGCGGGAGCGTGCACCTCGAGTCTGCGAGCAGCCTGGGCTTCCTCCCTCTCTCCACACCTGCCCAGGTGTCGTCTCCCTTCTGTCTGACCAGAGTAAAACCAGACAAGGCAGGAGGACAGTCAGGGATGCGCCCTGAGGACGCCTCAGGCAGTCCACTCATTCCTGCCATTCTAAACACACATTCCAGCACAACTCCAGCTGAGGAGGCACACTTTTGAAATGAAATGTTAACTACTAATCATCAAGGAATCAGGCTTATTTTCATATATTGCTAGAAAAATGTGAGGAGTTTTTTAAACAAAGGAATCAGTGCTTTGTCTAGCTATCTTTTTAAAAAATATACAAATATTTGTGTTCTAGAAACAGAAGACATGAGGTTTACAGTTGGCGCCAGAGCACACACACGGGAGTCCCAGTCCCATGCTCTTCCTCGCTCCCCATGCTCCCCCCTTGGCTCTCATCCTGTGACTTCGATGAAAATGGCACTGCTTCCTAGAGGGGTCCCCAGCCCCCGGCCCCACTACTCACCAGCCGTATCCCATGAACGGCAAGCCTCGCGAGCAGCTCACTGTTGGGCACAGGCACTCAACAAAGAGCAACACTGGATGCACAGACAAAGGAGTGCGGGTTACCATTATTTCAGGCGTTTCCACCTGTATCCCACACCCCAAGAACGGAGGCAGATGAAATGTACACAGAACCAGCAGGCCCGGCTATTATAGAGCTCTGATCTGCGATGCTTCTACAGCAGGACAGGTGAAAAGCTCCAAGTCTTTCCAGAAAACTAGATGACGCGGACCTCTTACACCAAAGACACCGTCGGTCCAGTGGGTTAGCCTACGACAGTCATCTGCACCCAGCGGCCCTCGTGTAGTCCAGCTCAGCTGTCAGAACAGTCATCGCTGCCCCCTGACTTGCTGCCCCACCCCAGCACCCACCCAGCCCAGCCCAGCCCACCTCCCCTCTCCCTCAACGGTGGCTCCTGTCCTTTAAAACCCACCCACACCCAATGCCCCTTCGCTCCCAGTCAATGGGCTCGTCCTGTCGAGCCATTTCCCTGGCTACACCCCTGAAGCCTGCTGGTCGCCCTCGACGTCCACCAGACATAGGAAGCTGCCACACCATTCTCCCTCATCCTCCTCACCAAAATCTGCCAGACTGATACCTCACTAGTCCCCTAAGTTTGTCCTCCACTGTGACCCCCAAGGCCTAGCTCCAGTCCCCTCCAATCTTCCTGGGTCCCCACAGCCTCCCATGAAGTCCCCAGAACTCTGCACAGTTGGAATCCCAGGCCATCCCCTTCAACCCGAGTGCCCTGACTTCCACCTGTGCTTACGGGCTTTGATCTGACACCTAAGAAAAACTGAAGTGTCCCTGCTTAAATTAACTTCCCCCTCCAATACTGGCTGCCAAGGTCATCTTTCCGAACTCAAATGTCATTCCCCTACTTAAAAAAAATAAGGTAACTAGAGAAAAGGCCCAAGTAAAGTAAATGCCTTCACTTGGCCCCAATCTCTACGGTCCGCCAGCCCTGGGGACGCCTGGTTCCAGTCACTCCTGACATCACCCAGCTCTCGGGACAGACAAGGCCACTTCACCCCCGCTTCCCCTCATGCGGTTTCTCAGCCTGAACTACCTACGCCATTCCCACCACAGCGCCCGTGAACAAACACCAGCTCCGGGGGAGCCACCCCACCACCCAGCTGCTCGGCAGCCCTCCGCTGCCTGCTCTGTGCAGGGGCTGCTTCTCCAGAAGTGAACGTGGGCCAGGTTGTTCGTGTGTCCGTCTCTCTGCAACCAGACGGCAGGAGCCGCAGCTATCTCTTCACATCCCCCAGAAGCCAACAAGCAGTCAGAGCGAGGCTCCCAAACAAGGAGTCTCCCCCTTCCTCTAACCAGTTAATCAGAAAAAAGGGCACGTTAGCTCGGGTCCCTGAAACCCACAACCTAGAACTGCACTCTAACAGCGGCATTGGGGGCCAGCAGTACCCTCTGGAAGATGCAATACCTAATTAATCTGTTACTAAGCACATACTAACCTGTCTTGCCTCTTTGGGAAATACAATGACAAACGCAATTAGAGATGTTAAAAATCAACCTAAAGTGATATACGGATTATGACCTTAACTTAAAACACACCACACAGGATGCAAATGTGTGTTGATACACACTACCAAGTCAAACCCAGCACTAGAGGACAGGAGCCCCATGTGAGTGTGTGCCAACCGTCGGGAAGAGCATGGGGCCCTCTCAGTCAGACTTTTTAGAGATTATTAAAACCTTTGAGATGATGAAAATGCCTAATGATTAAAATGCATAATGTCTATTATTTGGTTCCCTAGATATGGACGCATTGTTATTTCCTCTAGTTACGTTTCATGTAAACGTCATTTATCTGAGCTGTATCTCCAACTGTGTACAGTAAGTAAGTAAACAAACAGCCTCTTCTCATTAATGTTTAAAGAAAAATGCATTCTCAGAAACTCTAAAGGATAGAACTGGGGTTTCAGTTCTATGTAATGACTTTAACTGACATTACAAAGTGCAATGAGAACTACATAACCAACAAAATAGACTATTTTAGACCTAAAGCCTATTTCGTGGAAAAGTTAAAAAAAAATTATGCACTATATTCTATCGTTTCATGACAAATACAAAGCAAGCTAAAGTAGGATATTTTACAACATTTCGTTAATCACCAAGTTTCATTTTTCTGAGGAAAAAAGTGGCCAAAACAAGTGCTTAGCACTTGGTCGATCAAAGCTGAATTAACTTCCTCCACTCTCCACCACACAGGCGCTCAGAGTCATTCTGCACACGACCAGTCGCCCCTGGTCGCAGCGCTCCATCTCACTGAGCTCAGGTGGCCTTCAACAAAGATATTCTAATTGTAAATTAATACAGTCTGGAGAGATGAAGAAAAAGTCAGTGATATGATTTAAGCTTCATGCAACACCTATCACTGGTGTTCAAGACTGCAAAACCCGGGTGTATAAGCCAATCACACACATCTCTCTAAGAGCTATTAGATTTCTTTCATTTTTTTCACCTTTATATTGTGCTCTTTGCTTTAAAAGTCTGGTAGTAAACAGTACTATAGGTAGTGTTGTCATTCTGAAATAACGTGGGAAAACTGCAAAGAATGCAGTACTAGGAAAACATCTGTCTGTAAAACCAAGCAAATATACTTACATCTTTTGCCATGTTACCAGATCCGTGAAATCAATGCTATAAATGTTCACCCTCCAGAGAAGAAAAATGATTTTTCTGGTAAGAGGGAAGGAAAAACAAGAAATAAGTAAGAATGAAAAAAGAAGTTAATAAAATATCAACATTTCCCCCAGTACCATCACCATCCTGACTGCCGCTCCAGGTAGCAGGCACCTTCCTTTCTAAACCCACACTCCATCCTCAAAGCGCAGCTGGCAAAAAAAAACCCACACCAGGGATTTTACAAGTCATGTCAAAGAATGGAAATGCATCCAACGCTAGGATGCCCAGTCCTCTCCCTGCAGACCCCAATCCTCCTCGACGCCCACACAAAGACCCGGCACCCGGTCGGGCCTGGCACCCAGCCTGCGCCCGCGCACCCAGAGCGCAGCTGGAGACCCCTGGCCACCGCCTAGGCGAAGCCCTGCTGTCCCTGCGCAAAAGCGCACCCCAAAGAGTGCCCGGCTCCCGCTGGCTCGCTCCGCTCGCCCACTCTGCCAGCCGGTAACTCTGACAGGTGGGCTTCCGGGGTCCGGCCTCCAGCCTGTCACTAGGCCGCGGCCGCCTCGCCGCGAACGCCTCCCGCGCGCCGGAACCGGCAGTCAAGCAGGCCAAGTCGGGATCAGCACCGCCCCCAAGCACCCCGGACCCCCGGACCCCTTGCGCTCGGGCCAACGCCGATCGCCGCCGGGTGGAGACGACGGCGCTGCCGTTCCGCCGTAAGGCCACCTGCAGGCCCCTCCAGGGACCCGGGACCCCCGACCCCAAGGCCGGGTCACCTGGGAACCTCCGACGGCGGCGCCCAGGACCGGGGGCAGGAGGCCAAAGAGCCAGGAGAGGAGCGCACACGCGGCAGGTAAGGGGGACAGTGGACCGCTGAGTGCCCCGCGTGTCCGCGCCCCACCCGGGACCCCGGCCCTCGCCGGCCCCCTGCCCGCCGCACCTGGCTGGCAGTCGGCGCGCGGACACGCGGGGACGGACACGAGGGCGCGGACACGGACACGCGGGCTCGGACGCGAGGGCGCGGACACGCGGGCGGTCCCGGCGCGCACTCCGGCCCGGGGTCCTGCCCTGCAAGCGCCGGGCGCGGGGCTCACCCTGCCGAGCGGGCGTCGGGCGGCGTGACGTGCGCGGCGCGGTGACGTGGGCGGCGACCCGGCTCCCGCAGCGCGCCTGCGCGCGTTTTCGCGCCTTCGGCTCTGTCCTCCTCCTCCCGCCGAGATGCCCGCGCTTGGCTCCGAGGGGGGGGATGGGCTGCGCGTGCGCGCGCGTCCAGCCGGGTTGGAGACCCAGGGACTGGCGTCGGCGTGCAGAGTTGCGCGCGCGCGCGGAGGAGAGAAGCCAGTGGGGATATGCACATGCGCGCACACGGGGTACATGGGCAGGCGGCGTGCGCACATGTGCGCACATGTGCGCACATGGAGGAGAGGGGCCCATAGTGTGTGTGCATTTGTGGGCACGGAGACAGGTGTGTATGTACATTTATGCGCACACAGGAAATGGCTCGGATGTGTGTGCACACTTAGGACAGGAGTCAGCATTGTGTGTGCACAAGTCCTTGCAAAAGGAGAGGAACCTGGTGTGTGCACCTGTCAGTATGCACACACAGGTGAACGTGGGAGCCCCCTGTAGGCATGTTCACATGGGTGTATTTGCAGGAGTGTGTGCATACAGGCAGATGAAGGGCTGATTTTGTGGGCACAGGTGTTTATGTGTACACACGGAGCAGGAGGGCTGGTGTGTGCACCTGCAGGTGTGCACACATGAAAGAGCAAAGGAAGCTGGGTGTGTGAACACGTGGAGGAGAGGAGGTTAGATGTGTGCACGGAGGAGTGTATTTGTACTCGAGGAGAAAGATAGGCTGGGATGGGCACATGGGCATATTTGATTGGGTTCCTGTGTATGTGTACAAGGAGAGGAGGGCTCATGTGAGTGTGCAGATGCACAGAGGCAACTGGGTGTGTGGACATGCAGCATGGAGGGCCCCATCCACCTGGTGCTTTTCTCTCCCTGCCTGGCCCTCAACCTCCACACCCATGCACAGGTTCTGCGGAGATTCCACATGTCCTCTGTGCAGAAGGTTGTTCTGGAGGGAAACCAGGCAGTCAGTTTGCTCCTTATGTGTGCAACTGGTGGGCTGTGAGCCCAGCGACTTGTGCCCCCTGCAACCCACCACCACCAGGGATGGGCATTGACCCTCAGGGAGGCTGGAGATCCAGCTGAGAGCTGGCTGGCCTGGGAGTCCAAAGTTCAAGACTGCACCAGGTGTGTGTGCAGTGAGCTCAGGTATAATTAAAGCCTCTGAGGACTTAAGCACAGAGCAAAGGCCTCTCTGCACTATATGGGCTGCATGTTGCTGCATTACAGCTCACCAAGCATGGTTTCACAATTTAACCATTTTTATGCTGATCACACCCACTCCTGCTTCTTTGCTAGTGCAGCACTTAAACTCTGGACCCCTAAATTAGCATTGGTTTCTTCTTGAAGACAGCAAAAATCTTCACATTCTGCTGATTAGTACACAATGGACACGGAGAAACATGGAGGGTAGGGTGATAGGGTTGAATAAAGGCTTACAGAGAGAGAGTCCTATACATCTTGCAGGGTGAACACCGTATTTATCTGCTGGTGAAATGTATACAGCTCTTCTCCCATTAACAGGTCCCTATGATAGCTGAACCTGTGGTCCTCCATTTTGTTCCTCAAGTGGTCATATGCTCCTAGTTCCATTTTTCTTTCAAAGGAATTCTTTGTTTTTTACTGTATTTGAATATTCACCCCCAGATAGCAGCCAGAAGCCCCCCTTCCAGCCCTTGGGCCCAAATGTGCAGGGCGGCAAGTTGGGGGCTCAGAGTTAGGAAGAAATGGCAGATCAGACAGGAACCAAAACCACCACTCAGGCATGTACCCCGATCAGGAATTGAACCAGATGACTTTTGGCTTTGCATGGCGACGCCCACCCAACTGAGCCACACCGGTCAGGGCTCTCGAAAATATTTATTTGATTGAAGATCCACACACTTTTAGGCACTGCCTTGCCTTGAAATTTCTAGATTGGATTGCAGAAATGCAAAGTTCTTGGTGACTAATAGTCCCAAAACTCCCTGTATTCATCTAGTCCTTCCATCTCCAATCTATATCTGGGGACAGGTTGTTCAGGAAGTGTGACTTAGTGATGCTTTCATCTGGGTGTTGATTGATCCGCTTCCCAGTAGTTGGCGTTCAGCCCCGTATTATTGTCCAGCATATCACGTGTTTTAAGAAGGATGTGGCATTGGGTCCTTCCCAGGAAAGGTCCTTGCCTCCCATGAGCTCCCTCTTTGTCTGCTCTGTCTAGTCTCAGATCTGATCCAATTCCCTACCCCCCAACCCTATTAAACTGTCCTTTAAAAAGAGAGAAAACATTTTCTAATCTCTTGAAAATGTTTGTTCTAAATCTATTTGTTAACTATCCAATTTGCCTTTGGTTCCCTCATTAACATTGGTCTCTTCTCTAGGCGTTTCGCATTTTCCACCTTCTTGGGTCACTATGGCTATGATGACCTTCAGGGGGCAGGGGGACAACGGCTCATGCAACTTATAGGAGGGGAGAAATGTTCCTGGATGTGGACAAGTGATATTTTATCCTTTGGTAAAATATAAATAGAGGCATTTTTAGAAAACTTTGTGTATATCATAAAATATAAGCAAATCTATACTTGCTTATCCTCAAGATAAATCCCCTGGTCCTGTCCTCCAAAAAGATCACTGCTTCTGCCCTGGCTGATGCGGCTCAGTTGGTTGGCGCATCCTCCTGTAGCTGAGAGACTGCAGGTTTGATTCCTAGTCGGGGCACATATCTGGGTTTTAGGTCGGCTCCCCGGTCTGGGTGCAACGGATCCATGTTTCTCCCTCTCCCTTCTCTCTCTCTAAAGGTAATGAAAAAAATGTTTTCAGGTGAAGATTAAAAAATATATATCACTGCTTTTATGCCCCATCTACAAGCAAATTCTGTAGCCCCTACCCACCACCTAGACACAGGAAGACATTATTTCTCTCTTAGTCTTCCTTACATCATGAGTCCTTTTGAAAATTTCTGGTCAAATCCAAAGTCCTCCTCTTTGATGAATGGTCAGTCCTTGACCCCCTTGCATTATTATGTATTATATTAATATTAAGAGCATAATATTATGCTCTTAATATTATATACTAAAGACTTATACAATCTTTTGGAGGCTAAAGTCACAGTCCTTCGAACAGCAACCCTTGGATCTGACAAATTCTATATCACAGCATCCAATTTACTCAAAATTTCTTTTACAAGCCTTGTTTACGACTTAGACACTTCTTGTTTGCTTTTCATCTGAAATGTCCTCTAGCCTTTGAAAGGAAAGAAACCCCTTTCATTCCTTTGCCATTTAACTCCACAATTCTGCTAGTGTTCTTTCTGTGGATTTCACATCGTTCTGGATAAAACGATACCAAAATTATTTTCTATGGAATCCTACAACATAAGGTTGAAAGATCTGTTTTCCTTATATCATTTCCTTCCTCAACTGAAGCCATTAATCATCAGCCAGGAGTGACAAGCAGTACCAAGGACCTACAGCGCAAGTGTAAGAAACTTGACTTTATGTACGACTGATTGCCTTTGGTCACTATCAGCTACCTGTCCCCTTATTCTACAGATTCAGAGAAGGATCTTAGAGCTCACCTGAAGCTTTGATGAAGGAAAGTCAAATGACCTTGGGTAAATAATCTCAGCCTCTCTGATGCTCAAATTCCTTTAGCCTTTTTTTTTTTTTTTTTTTTTTTTGAGAGAGAGAAGTAGATAAAAAACAATTATTTGATAAGAAGATAAACGACAATTTCCAAAGTTTTATCTTTCCTGCATTCCTTACCCAGGAAACATTTTTGAGCTCCAAATGCATACCAGATAGTAAGGACACAAGACTGTTGTTACTGGGAAAGGGAATTGTGGAAGCACAGAAACAGGAACAGTTGTTTCCCCTGCAGGCAGAGAAACCTATTTCTCACAGTCCTGGAGACTGGAAGTTCAAGAACAGGGTCAGGTTCCAGTCAGGGCCCTCCTCCAGACTTGCAGATGGCCACCTTCCCATTTTATCCTCACGTGGCAGGGTGAGCAAGCTAGTTCTCTGGCCTCTTTTTTAAGATTTATTGATTGATTTTTATTTATTAATTGATTTTTGAGAGAGAGGAAGGGAGAGAGAGAGAGAAACATCGATTTCTTGTTCCACTTATTTATGCATTGGTTAATTCTTGTATGTGCCCTGACCGGGGTTCAGACCCGCAACCTTAGCTATTGGGACAATGCTCCAACCAACTGAACTCCTAGCCAGGGCTCTCTAGTCTCTTTTACAGGCACTAATCCCATTCACAGGGCTCCACTCTTATGGCCTGATTACCTCCAAATACCACCTGTAGGAGAGGGACAATAAGCTTCACTCTAAGTTCTTGGCTGGGGTCCCTGTAACAAAAGATCAATTAACCAGAGAAAAGCAGAAGTTTAACATGTGTACCTCAAGTATACATGGGAGACATCCAGGGGAAAATGAGCAATTCTCAGAGGTGGCTTAGAATCAGGCTTAAGTATCACCTTAAGCTAATAAGGAAAGAAAATGTGGGGGAGGCCAATTATGGGGAGGTGACCACGAAAAGTAGGTGAACAAAAGCAAGGTTTGGTATGCAGATTTGAGCACCTGCCTTCCCACCAATGAACGCTTCTTGGTTTAGTCATCCATCTCTTCCTGGAACAGAGAGGGAAGACACACTGACAAATGGACATTTTCTTTATAAATGTAAATTTCCTTTACTAAAGGGTAACTTCAGCTCTGTTTTCAGAGCCTCTGCTACCTCTCAAAATAATTGTGTGCCGAAGAGGCACGATCTGGCGTGGCACATGCTGCCACCCTTCATACCACACTGCAGATTAGATTTCACTACATGAATTTTGAGGGGTCCCAAACATTCAGATCATAACAGTCCCATTGGCCTAGCCAGGGATGCTAGAATGTAGCCATTATTCTAGGCCCTATGGCTACCTAATCATTTGAAGGTCTATTAAAAAAAGGGATGGAGAGCTGAGGCTGGGGGACAATTAGCAGTTTGTTTCAAATGATAGAGAGA